AGTGAAGCTCAGGCCAACAGCGAAACTCCAGCAGATCCCTCTTTCAGCAGCAACCAGCCAGGAAATAAGGCCACGCCCCCTGGTGTCCGTTGCCGCACTGCAACAAAATGGCGACCTCAGCAGTTGATTGCCTCTGTAGCTATGCAGTAGTGGGGTTTTGGCGCCCCTGTCCACAAACTGGACATGCCCTTTGGTGTCAGTGGCCTCCCATGCCAAAATGGTGACCTCAGGGCTTAATGATCTCTCTGGCTAAGCAATTGTGGTGTTTTGGTGCCCCACCCACAAAATAGTGTCAATGAATTGATCAAAACACCTGCTGCACTGCTCTTATTTTCTGATTTCTCTTCACTTACCCATGTTCCATGTCTAAATAAGTAATATACACAATAACAGTAATAAAAGTTTTTCTAACAAACTTCAAATTTCTAGGAAAGATGCAAAACTAAGATCATACATTCAAATGTTCCTCTTAGAAAATTAATGTAAAAGTTGCAAACAAGGGAAAATGGAATCAGGGCTGAAGTAGGGAGCGGTGTGAAGAACTGGCCAGAGAGTTTGAGAAATTGGTTATTTATTTAATACATGCTTGAATTTGGAACAAAGAAGAGTCCTCTACTTAGAATTACTGCATGTTGGACTTCCCTGGTGGCCCTGTGGATAGGAACCCACCTGCCAAATCAGGGAACATGGTTTCCTCTCCCTGGTCCAGGAACATTCCACATGCTATGGAGCAACTAAGCCATGTGCCATTACTGAGTCGGTGCTCTAGAGCCTGTGAGCCACAACTACTGAGCCTGTGGGCTGCAACTACTGAGTCCATGTGCTGCAACTACTGAAGCCGGCACACCTAGAGCCTGTGATGATAACAAGAGAAGCCACCGCAATGAGAAGCCCATATAAGACAACAAACAGCAGCCCCTGCTTGCCACAACTAGAGAAAGCCCATGCAAAGCAATGAAAATCCAGTGTAGCCATAAATAAATAAATTATACAATTATGAAAAAAAGTTACTTCATGCTGAGGACTGATACCATTCAGAGAGAAAGCCACCCATACAAAACAGAACATCCATGGATTGTGGGTCTTTCTCTGGCCCAACTTCCCATTAATATGTTGGACCACACATAAAGGAGCATATTCAGAAAGGAATGCATATAATTTACAGTCACATGAAAACAATATACTATGTGAGGTAATAATATTTATATGGTTTCTAAACCAAAGAGTATCAAATAATATACAGCAAAAAGTCTCCCTCCTTCAAGCCATTTCATCTCTCCTTCCTTCAATTAACTGTAATTAATAGCTTCTTGTGTATCTTCTGGAAGTACTATTCCTATACTAATATATATCCTACAGTCTTTTGTGGTTTTGTATCTGCTTTTTTCACTCAATGATATATCCTGTAGATATTCCCATAGAACTTCCTCATTCCTTCTTACACCTGCCTATTGAATTTTACAAATGAATTTTAACATATCAAATCACCTCTTCACTGATGTACTCTGTATCATGTTTTCAAAACTAATTTGTGACTATAATCTAGTATCTGAAATAACCCTATTTTCAAATAAGATCATATTCAGAGGTACTGGGGGTCATACCTTTTGGGGACACATAACTCAATCCATAAAATCTGCATTGCCAAGAGTGAAGGGAAACTGGCAAGCTCATACATTGATAATGAGAGCATGAATTGTTTAACCTTTTAGAATGGCAAATTGTCAATATGTATTAAAAAATTTTTAATGTGTCTACTTTCTGAAATAGCAATCTCAATATTTTGTTTTGATCCTAGGCAGGTAATTACATAGGAACAAAATTCTATGTGGAAAAGAAGGTCTTTGCAGTGTTGTTTATAGCATTAAAATAGAAAATAATTATAAATAATTTGTTAAATGAATTATGATCCACAAGTATGAAGCCATTAAGATGAAGATATCATTGAATTTCATAATGAAATGCTACATTTCCCACTGATAGCAACATTTGTCACTGTCAAGAATGCTGGCTATGGCCTCAGAGGATGGCATTTTAATTTTCTTTTTAGAGTAACTAAAACAGGTAATAATATATGTCTATTCTGATTATTAAAATATTATTACTAACTACTTACAGCTAACAACAAAATACTAATGTTGGTGAGGATGTGTGGAAATGGTAACCCTCATGCACTCTTGGTGGGAATGTAAATTGGTGTAGCCACTATGGAAAACAGTATCGAGTTTCCTCAAAAAAATGAAAATGGAACTACCATATGATCCAGCGATTTCACTTATTGATCTAAAGAAAATGAGAACACTAACTTAAAAAGATATATACTCCCCCATCTTCACTGCAGCATTATTTACAATAGCCAAGACATGGAAGCAACCTAAGTTTCCATTCATGGATGAATGGATAAAGAAGATGTGATATATAGAGATCAATGGAATGTTATTCAGCCACAAAAAGAAGGAAATTTTTGTCATTTGAGACAACATGCAATAACCTTGGGTACATTATGCTAAGTGAAACAAGTCAGACAGAAAAAGACAGATACTGTATCTCAATTATATGTGGAATCCAAAAAACAAAACAAAAATTCAAGCTCACAGATACAAAGATTAAATTAGTGGTTGCCAGAATCCAAGGGTAGGAGTTAGGTGAAATGGGTGAAGGGAATCAGAAGGTACAAACTTCTAGTTATAAAATAAATAAGTCCTTAGGGTGTTACGTACATCATGGAGACTATAATTACTACTACTATAAATACTCTACTTCATATGTGAAAGTTATTGAGAGTAGATCTTAAAAGATCTCTGCATAAGAAAAAATTCTGTAACTGTATGGTGATGGATATTAACTAGACTTGCTGTGGTGATCATTTCACAGCACAGACAAATATTGAATCATTATGCTGTACATTTGAAACTAATATGTCAATTATATCTGAAAAAATATATTACTAGCTTGTGTGTACATTTAACTTGAATCCTGTACTTAGTGATAAGAAAACAAGCCTACAATATAAAATTACATAAAAAACAGCTTGTAAGACAGTATCAATATTATGGTCCCATTAATATAAAAATATATTTATGATTAAAAATGCAAACAGAACCTTCTTAAAGGTTACACACCAAACTGTATAATAATTAAGTAATGCACTAAATTTCTCTAAAAAGTTTTTTTCCAGATGGAATTTAAGAATATTTTAATTTACATTTTTTGCTTCTCTGATATTTCTGATTTTTCTACCATGAATGTGTATTGCCTGTGTGATAAAGGCTAAACAAACAGTGGTTTAATGAAATAAGATGGAACTGCTGGAATGGCTAATGATGGGTCTCAAAAGTTGATGTCAGGTGAGCAGTACCAAAGAGGGATGGAGAAGTCAGGAGAATGAACAGATGCTGTAGCCCCAGGAACTCTCTCCATTCTGCTGGGTGGACCTCTGGGGTGCCTGGGATGCCCTCGGTCTTTAGGGGCTTGCCTTGCTGTGCTGGGATGCACAGAGCCTTCATCAGGAGCCTGGTTACTCTTTGCCCACAGGCTGTGGTGGGAAGGAGTAGGGCAACTGATGTCAGAGAGGAGGTTGGTTGCAGCAGCAGGAGCACCCCAGAGCAGGAGGTAACTTCCATCCAAAAATGAAAGCATCACAGTAGGACAACGAAAGTACACTTTGCACATGCAGGCAGTGAAGGTCCTCCTCCCTCCCTCTGCTTGGGAAGAGCTGAACTGGCCAGGCAGAGACTTCCCTCCCAACTTCACAGAACTGACCTTCTCCAAAAGGTCATGTTCTCACAAACCTCTGGTCTTTTGAACTTCAGTGTTACCATTCTCAAGAACAGCCTTTTCCCACACCAAATTCTGAATCTCTAAATCCCGTTGTCTATTGCATGCATGTATGCTCAGTCACTGCAGTTTCATCCGACTCTTTGTGACCCTATGGACTGTAGCCCGCCAGGCTCCTCTTCCCATAGCATTCTCCAAGCAAGAATACTGGAGTGGGTTGATATGCCCTCCTCCAGGGGATCTTCCTGACCCAGGAATTGAACCAGTGTCTCCTGTGTCTCCTTCATTGCAGGAGGATTCTTTACCCACTGAGCCACCTGGGAAGCCCCCTGTTGTCCTTTAATTCTTTTTAAATACTGCTTTTTTTAGGTTCCCTCCCCTGGTCCAAGGATGGAGGGAGAAAAGAACACAGACATACTGCAACAGAACAGCACTGTCCAGCTAATGAAAAAAAAGGACAAGAGTATCCTACTTTGTTTGTAACTGTGGATTCAGAGATCTTGGAGACAAGTGTTGAAAGTTCCCACCCTTTCATGTAAAAAGTACTGTAAGACATGTGGGCTCCTAAGATATACTCCATTTTGCCAAATACCCTAAAGTTAGTTGGGATTCAGGGTGTCTCCTTCCTAGGGCTCCTACAACTGATATGTTTCTAAATAGATAGGACTTAAGGCTACAGAACAAGTTTCTAAGTTCTATTTATCAATATCCTAGGAAGAGCCATTGAGAGGACCTGGCAACATTTGCCAGACACACTTGTTTCTGAAATGGGATTCACTTAAGAAAATAATTCCATGGCTCATTCCTGGACCTCCTGACTGTGTTCTTGCCACCTCTGTATTGGTGGAGCTAAGCAACATTTTCATGAAACCTTTAGGATCAAAGTTTAGCTCTCCCAACATTGTGGCTTCCCTCTACTTTCTCTTCTATCACAGTCCAGCCTTAAAGACCTTGAACTTCTAACTCACCAAGAGACAGCAGGGCATCACAGTTAAAAGCATGGTCTTGGAAGCCAATCTGCCTGAGTTCAGCTCTTGGCTCTGACGTTACATAACTGTGACATAGAACAAATTACTAAACATCTGCATGCCTCAGTTTCCTTAACCTAATGCTACCTATGTTATAAGACTGTTTTCTTATCATAAGTTATTATAAGCATTTAAAACAGTGATGGATATGTGCTACAGGTTACAAAATACTTGTTAAATAAAATAAATAAATACCTGTACTAGACCGGATTATTTCTGTTCCAACAACATGGCCCAGCAGGTCATATTGATTCAGTCGAGAGCCATCTTGTGCCACTTCCACAGATTTGTTCTTCCCAAGAGTCCAAGAATAAACAACTTCAGCTGTTGTATAGGCATCTAAGGCAAAAAAAGTCAAGAAGGAAAAGGGAAGGGGAAAGAAAATGGTTATCTTTGATAGTAAACTCATATGAGATTGAAATACAACTCCCATCCCAAAACACTTTTTAATATGTGGTCTGTCTTAAAATGAATTACATTTATCCATGCTTGTATTAAGTACTTGTTGAATAATTATTAATAGTTTACTCTGGACACTATTGCCAACATCCACTGGATTGCAGAAAAAGCAAGGGAATTCCAGAAAAATATCTACTTCTGCTTCATTGACTATATACTAAAGCCTTTGACTGTGTGGATCACAACAAACTGCGGAAAATTCTTAAAGAGATGGGAATACCAGACCACCTTACCTGCCTCCTGAGAAACCTGTATGCAGGTCAAGAAGCAACAATTAGAACCAGACATGGAAACATGAACTGGTTCAACATTCGGAAAGGAGTACATCTACGCTGCATATTGTCACCCTGCTTATTTAACTTACTTGCAGAGCACATCATGCAAGATGCTGAGGTGGATGAAGCACAAGCTGGAACCAAGATTTCCAGAAGAAATGTCAATAACATCAGATATGCAGATGACACCATGCTAATGGTAGAAAGCAAAGAGGAACTAAAGAGACTCTTAATGAAAGTGAAAGAGGAGAGTGAAAAAGCTGGCTTAAAACTCAAAATTTTCAAAACTAAGATCATGGCATCTGGTCCCATCGTTAATGGCAAATAGATGGGGAGACAATGGAAACAGTGACACATCTTATTTTCTTAAGGCTCCAAAATCACTACAGATGGTGACTGAAGCCATGAAATTAAAAGACACTTGCTCCTTGGAAGAAAATCTATGACAAACCTAGACAGCATATTAAAACGCAGACATCACTTTGCTAACAAAGGTATGTATAGTCAAAGCTATGGTTTTTCCAGTAGTCATGTATGGATGTGAGAGTTGAACCATAAAGAAGGCTGAGCACTGAAGAATTGATGCTTTCACACTGTGATGCCGGAGAAGACTCTTGAAAGTCCCTTAGACAGCAAGGAGATCAAAGCAGTCAATCCTAAAGGATATGAACTCTGAATATTCACTAGAAGGACTGATGCTGAAGCTAAAGCTCCAATACGTTGGCCACCTGATATGAAGAGCCAACTCACTGGAAAAGACCCTGACACTGGGAAAGATTGAGGTTAGGAAGAGAAGGAGGCAATAGAGGATGAGATGGTTGGATGGCATCACGACTCAATGGACATGAGTTTGAGCAAACTCCGAAAGATAGTGAAGGATGGAGAAGCTTGGTGTGCTACAGTCCACAGGATCGCAAAGAGTCAGACACAACTGAGTGACTGAAAAACAACAACAACTCTGGACACACAGAAATAAACCCAAAGTGGTCACAGTCCAGAAGACTCACAGTGACTCACAGTCTTCTGGACTGCCAATAAACCTTTATAAAGTTTTCCTTCTCTTGGAGGATAGAGAGTGGTGGCAATGGGAGGAATGGTTAAAATATTATGTAATGCAGATGTCACAAATTCAAATGCCCAGAGGAGCTAGAGACATATCCTAAATGACCTAATTAAGCTAGCTGTAAGAAAAATAAACTTCTAGAAATGTAATAAAATTTTCTTTAATTATTAATTATTATGGGATGAGCATATGAATTATGGTAAAAAATCATGTTAGGGATATTTTAAATTAAAAATGAAAAATTACAAATTAAAAAAGCAATAACTAATGATTATAATTTTATTTGGAAACTTATAAGTTTAATCTAGTTTAACTTGCAAACCAGAAACCTGCCACCATTTCTTTTGTATCAGGGTATTAATATCAGGTCTTGTATTTGGAATTTCAAATTCGAGTATGGAACTTAGCACAGAATAATTTTAACAGGGGTGTGGGTAAGAAAATGGTGAGGGAATGAGGAATGAGGTTATTTAGTTATAGTTAGTATCTTAAAGGAATAGAGTTGCTTTCTTTCTAGACACAGATCAATTCTTAGCACAGTGAGTTTTATATTTGGGGTGAGCACCATGCCCTAACTCAGATACCTAGGATCATTATAAAGGGAACCTGACTGCCAGACTGCTCACCCTTTTCATTCATTTTTGAGCTGTTTATTATTCAAGTCACTCAGAGATCTCCAAATCATGGTGGCAGCTATTATGTCCATGACATGCTCTATTTAAACCTTATACCACAAAGCAAATAACTGCTAGTGAATTTACCAATGAACGAATGTAAATTCTGTATCCCTACAAAACTGAAATGTTGGATATGTATTTCATAACAGTCTGACAAAAACATATGTATTAATTGTGATCTGCTTATATTTCAGTTTTAGAACTATTTTCAATATATTCAAGAAAAACACTTCCTGATTTCTTTATAATGGGCCACATGCCCAAAAGTTCCTCAGGCACATCAAAATTCTCATTGAAATTATGAGAAAATACATATAACTCTATGGTATTGTACACCCATGGTGGATTCAAGTCAATGTATGTCAAAAAAAAGGCAAAACCAATACAATATTGTAAAGCAAAATAAATAAATAAATAAAATCTGTGCTCTTATAAATGATGAAGGAAAATGCCACAAGAAATCTAACTTTTCCACATAATATGCACTGTATATGTTCTCAGTCATTTCTTCAATTCACTGACAAAAATACTTGATTAAATATATAGTTACTGTTGCAATTAAATCATTTTTATAAATTTGACATCTATAAAATAATTTGATGCCTGTGAAGGTTAATTGCTTAATTAATATATAACTACATTTCCCAGCAGCAACACTTAATGTATACATTCAAATACAAACCTTTTGAAATTTTAATCTATTTGATTGTTTTTTAAATTTCAGTCTGTTTTAATATTTTCACTGTACATCTTTTTAAATGTATCAATTATGGTTCTTATAATGGATTGCATAATGTTGATATCTGAAGTTTTATTTCTTCAAACAAAAGCATACTTTGTATGCAAAGCAATTGTGTATAAATAGTCATTTTTACTAGGAAATGAAAACTCACAATCTTTCTTGAAATAGTCCCTTCAATCTATCTTCTATTTATTTAAAATATTTATAGTTATTGGTACAACAACTATGTCAGTTTCCACTTTATTCTACTAGGAGTTCTTAATTCTACCACATGTAAAGCAAGAATGTAAGTGAGTTGACTAATGGCAACTGACATTGTACCCTGTTTTTAGTGAGGGAGTAGAATGTGCCCATCTAAAGAGACAGACACTTCTCAGCCCCATGTGGTTGTGGTCCTGTAGGGATTTGAGTTCAGTGTTGTCCTATCTTCTGATTTCATAAAATAATGATAATGAATGAATTAGAATTCTGTGTAACATCTCCCAAATTTCAAATTTGAGGATAATTTTGAAAGAAATTAACACTTATTATGGGCTTCCCTGGTGGCTCAGTGGTAAAGAATCTGCCTGCAATGCAGGAGATGTGAGTTCGATCCCTGGGTTGGAAAGATTCCCTGGAGAAGGAAATGGCAACCCACTCCAGTTTTCTTGCCTGGGAAATCCATGGACAGAGGAGTCTGGTGGGCTATAGTCCATAAAGTCGGAAAAGAGTTGGACATGACTTAGTGCCTAAAACAACAGACAACACTTATTATGTCAAATAAAGGATATTTGCAAACCACCAACTTGTAACTTAGTTGGACCTAAAAGATACCTAAAGGACACTCCATCCAAAACAGCTGAATACACATTCTTTTCTGTACACATGGAAGTTTTCCAGATAGAACACATAATGGCCACAAAGCAAGTCTCAATAAATTTAAGAAGATAGATATTATATCAAGCATATTTTCCAACCACATAACATGAATCTGGAAATCAATGATAGGAAGAAAAATGGAGAAAACACAATTACATAAACACTTAAAACATCATGCTAATCAAAAACCAATGAGTCAACAGAAAAATCAGAGAGGAAATTTTTTTAAATACCTTGAAACAAATGAAATAAAAGCACAATATTAAAAAATGCTACCACATAATTGCACTCATCTCACATGCTAGCAAAGTGATGCTCAAAATTCTCCAAGCCAGAATTCAACAATATGTGAACCATAAACTTCCAGATGTTCAAGCTGGTTTTAGGAAAGGCAGAGGAACCAGAGATCAAATTGCCAACATCCTATGGATCATCAAAAAAGCAACAGAGTTCCAGAAAAAACATCTATTGCTGCTTTATTTACTACGCCAAAGCCTTTGGCTGTGTGGATCACAATAAACTGTGGAAAATTCTGAAAGAGATGGGAATACCAGACCACCTGACCTGCCTCTTGAGAAATCTGTATGCAGGTCAGGAAGCAACAGTTAGAACTGGACATGGAACAACAGACTGGTTCCAAATAGGAAAAGAAGTACGTCAAGGCTGTATATTGTCACCCTGCTTATTTAACTTATATGCAGAGTACATTATGAAAAACGCTGGGCTGGAAGAAGCACAAGCTGGAATCAAGATTTCCAGGAGAAATATCAATAACCTCAGATATGCAGATGACACCACCGTTATGGCAGAAAGTGAAGAGGAACTAAAAAGCCTCTAGATGAAAGTGAAGGAGGAGAGTGAAAATGTTGGCTTAAAGCTCAACATTCAGAAAACTAAGATCATGGCCTCTGGTCCCATCACTTCATGGGAAATAGATGGGGAAACAGTGGAAACAGTGTCAGACTTTATATTTTGGGGCTCCAAAATCACTGCAGATGGTGATTACAGCCATGAAATTAAAAGATACTTACTCCTTGGAAGGAAAGTTATGACCAACCTAGATAGCATATTAAAAAGCAGAGACATTACTTTGCCAACAAAGGTCCGTCTAGTCAAGGCTATGGTTTTTCCAGTGGTCATGTATGGATATGAGAGTTGGACTGTGAAGAAAGCTGAGCACCGAAAAATTGATGCTTTTGAACTGTGGTGTTGGAGAAGACTCTTGAGAGTTCCTTGGACTGCAAGGAGATCCAACCAGTCCATCC